TAAGATATATCGAAAACTCTCTTTTTATCTTAGAGAATAAAATTGAATTGATTGTAGAATAAAATTGTATTTATTTTCGACAGCCATCATGTACCTTATTTCGCATTTGGTTTGACATAATTCAGTTCCAAATATATGAATTACTCATTCATTAATTACCAGAATACAAGGCAGTTTTTGGTATATCTTATAAATTTATTCTATTGATTGCAAATTGTTTTATTAAAAAATATTTACACATTTTAATGTAATTAAGTTTTTATAATAATTTTTTTTATGTATTTTCTCGTTTCTGATATTATAATCCAAGATACTTCAGTAAAAATCGGCCTTAAAACAATTTAATAAAACGTAACCGATTTGTTTCTTTATATTTATAGATGAAAGAAAAAATATAATGTAATTTAATATTCTAAAATTTATTATATTGCACGATGTTTGCGAGCTTACAATTTGAATGCACAATCATATGTTTAATTTCGTCACATGTTTAATTTTACTTAATGCATGAATTCGAAATAGAGCGGAGATGACATCAAATGTATATCATGTTATAATGCGTTTGTCACAACGATCTTGATTTTCACAGATGAGAATGGTTTAATATATCATCAAAAGAGATCAAGTTATTTTGGGAACACTTTCGGCAATAGTGCCAACAACCTTCTACATCCTCGCCATTCTCTTGTTAAAAGCGCGGACGTTCCATTGGAAAATTTCCAAAACGTCTTTCACAGTGTCGCATGTTCGTCGATCGTATCGAAATCTGATCGTAAAACTTCGTTCTTGCAGTTGTCGAACATTTCCTATCTGTTAAACTCTCTTCTGAAGCTGCATCCGTTCATGAAACGATTGCGGGAAGGATAATAAAATAAATCCAAAAATATAAAAAAAATGCTCATGCGATTTTATTTTATCAATCACGATGTTTCGAAAGACAACATTATTTCTCTGTTCTATGTATCTAAGTTAAGAATCTGCGCATCTTCTCTACTATTTATTGTGAAGACAAATTATGAAGTTTAATTTGAAAATGGAGGATCCGTGTCTATAGTTAAGCATATATCTCCAAAGAAAAATTATAGTTTCTCTATGAGAAGGTAAAACAAATGGCGGCAATTATTCCAAATGGTGGGATTTCTTTTTAATTTTTTCTTTATATTTATCTCTGTCAAACTGACATACATCATTCTCGACAAACGTGACAGATCTGTGCGTTTGGTTGCATATATTGGGATTGCGCTGGTACTTTCTCTTCTTAATTCTAAGCTTCCTCGATCTTTATCTCGTCTTTCACCATATCGAAATATGACAAAAAGATGAGATAAAGGTCGAGAAAGTTTAGGATTAGGAGGAGAAAGCATCGACGCACTTTAATGCAATCAAACCCATGGATCATATCAAATGAAAATAATATACGTCGATTTTTTAACTGAAGGACATAAATATAAAGAGAAAGAAAACGAAAAGATTAGAAATTCCATTATTTGGAACAATTACTGGCATTTGTTCTACTTTTTCATAAAAAATAATTTTTCTTCAGGATATTAATCAAACAGAAAGACTATCGAAACAATTAAAAATTTGAATTGAAATCAGAACTGAAGTTGAAAATACATGGAAAGAACGATTTTGCTGAAGAATCGAAAAAAACTAGATTTAAAAATAATTTTTCCTCCAATTATTAAAATAATTATACAGAATGTTTAGCGTTAATGAAAAAGATTTAACTTTCTAGAAATCAATTTAATTGTTCTATATAATTATTTCAATGGTCCAAACAAAATTATTTCCAGATCTATATCTAGCCAAATCTTGTAAATATTTCAGCGCAAGAACATTCTTTCCGTGTATCATAAAAAAATTATTTCGTATAATAAAATTATTTTACAGTAAAAAAAATTATGTAATTACGTAATCATACTTTATTTATTATATAATTTCTACATTGCATCTATCCTCTTAAATTATTTAAAAACCGGTTTTATTAACGTCAAGTAATTTCTGAGATTTAATTGATTCTCTGTGTTTGTACTCTTGACGGAGACAACTTTAATTGGCATAAATTGCGGATATCATTCCTGTCATTGTTCATTTGTCAAATAATTCGAGAACGTCATGTTCAGTCGCTACATTTAGGTTACACTGACAGGGAAATCTGCCGACAATTTGTGTTAATAATTAACGATTTAATGGTGAGTCGAGCCGCAAATAGAGAATCGATTAAGGAGGAAGATGAACCCGGATCGGAGCTTCGCAGACTCCAAGAAATTGCCAAGCTTGCGGCTATACATTACAATGGCGAAAAAAAATTTCAGAAAAGAACGGATCTTTCACATGTCGTACACGCCAGTTTACACTTTGCTCAACTTGTAAGGGATCGAACGTGTTGAAAAATTTACATCGCTCGTGAGGCGGACGTAACTTAATCTTCTCATATGTGCAAAATGTTTATTCCGGAGTGTTTATTTCTGAAGCCGGTAGTAGGAAGTAATCACGCGTTATTTTCAATGTGAAAAATATAATTAACGTTCCGTGCGCAATCATATTCTTATTCCTTCGGTCTGCAATCTGAATCTTTTCAGAAAATTGAAATTTTTTTACTACTCTGGATTTTCAAATATATGAAAAAATTTAGGATTAAGTACTCTTATACTTCTTAATAGAGTAGAATTTTCAATATCTCTACTTTATTAATTATTAAATAATTTTCTCGACTATTTTAAGAAGAAGAATCGAAATTAGCACTTTTTTATTTCAGAGAAAATTAAGAGTAAAACTTTACTTGTAAAAAAGGATTCAGATTATAGATGGAGAATTAAAAAGAAAACAATACAGACTTTAGTCATATGCATAAAGCTCCTTCAAAAATTGACATTCTGTATTTAATGAAAAATAAATTAAAAACTGATATTATCAAAAAGTAATATTTATTTTTATAACAATTTCAATATTTCGTTTTTTTTTTATTTTTATTATTATTAGTATTTTTTTAAGGGAATAAATTAAAGGAGCTTCATACTTACTGCCATACTTGTGTGTAAAAGATACACGCATTTATATTTGTAAAAAGTTTTAAGACGAAATAACTGCATTCATTATGTATTCTTAGGTTATTGAATCGTTCATTATTTTCGTAAAATAAAATTTTCGTAAAAATATTGTCGCACACGTACAAAATAAATGCATCATAGGAATATAATATTTCGTTATCGTCTCTTGTACACGATAAAAAACATGACACGTAATATCTAAGAAAGCACATCGCTGTTGTTACGTGCCTCTATCCCAAGATGAAATAATTTCATGCTTGAAACAATGCGACCTAGATTTTCGATCGGAATTTCTTGCCGCTTGCGCTGTGATTCAGTATAACGATAATCGTGACATTGATATTTTTATTATGTAATCGGATACGACATGTGCATCGAATATCGGACACGCATCAGACATATTTACGCATGAACACGCGTGTACTCCGCAAATTTTAATCGCTTCAGGAAGAAACTGACGGCTCGCCGCAGTATTCAATTACCCGCGTTCTATTTCAGCTGACGGTTTTGTCACGATCGGTGGAAACCTGCTAAGAGCATCGTTAGCACAATAGATAACAGCGAATATTGAGAACATCTCTCGAGTACTATGTATGAAAACTGTACCTTATAGTCTTTTTTTTATGTTAGCATTTTCTTCTCGTAACCTATATTTATTTAAATTAAATTAAATTTTGCTTGATATTTGTATTAATAATAATAATAGTATGATAAGATATTAGGCTCATTTTAAAGAGTAAGATATAAATAGTAGTTTCTTTAAACAAATATATAATATAATACCTTGATCAAAAAGTTCCCGGAATTCATTCAGAAAATTAAAAATATTTTTTTATTCATCAAAAGTGATATTATCCCCTTCAAAGTACTCTCCATCGACTGCAACGCACTTATGCTAGCGCTTGATTCAGCTCTCGAAACATTTCTGGAACTCCATTGTCGGTATAGCCATCAGAGCCATCTTCGATTTTTCCGTTACCTCCTTTCGACTGTTAAAACGCGTTCCCCGTAATTTTTTGACTCGATCGAACAGAAAAAAATCGCAGGGAGTCATATCAGGTGAATTCGATGGCTGTTGGATAGTATTCGTTTCGTTCTTGGTCAAAAATTCACTCGTTGTTGCAAATTCAACTCCATTTCTAAAACTGTAAAAAATCGAAAATACGTGCAGAGATAGATGTACTCAAGACGGCGTAACTTTTACAAATGTCAAGCTATGGTAGTAAAATTTGGTGGAAATGTCAATGATAGATGTGGCAATTAACCAAAAAAAACAGAACTCAAATCAGCTGACTCAAAGCATCATCTGGTGATAATTTCGGGAACTTTTTGATCAAGGTGGTATATTTAGAATAAATAATAAATGAGAATAAGTCCGATATATGAAAAAATCAAGAAGAAATGCTAATTACGGTCAAAGCATACAAATGTAATTATATATACGTATAGATGTTGGAATAATAATTCTATATAGTATATGTAATTTATTTTAAACACATTTACTTTTCGGTTGTTTGCGCGCCGATTCAGGACTTGTAATCAAAATGAATTGAAATAATAATAGTAAATACAAATTAAATTTGATCGTCAATTTGAAATAAAAGTATATTTGAATTAAATTACATATAGAATTATTATTCCAACATCTAACTTTGACTTTAAATGATTTGGTTCTTTTTACTTAATATATTTAAAATTATTTAAAAAATTATTTGTTTGTTAATTAGCTTAATACTTTATCATATTACTATATTTATTTATTTTTATATATTTATTTATTCATATTATTATATTTTTATTTTTATTAAGGAAAGATATTTCTATATATTGTATTTATTTTTATTACTGAGAGTATTCTTGATGTTTTTAGATTTACTTCACTTACTTTGATTGCTTGATAAGCATATCAATATTAATAAATATTACGATGAAAGATCTTTTTAGGTGATGACGTCGGCTATCGAAATTTTTCATCACGTGCATCACTATATAAATCGACGTGCGCGAGAAAAGGACGATACGATCCCAATGTTACCAGAGGAAAGAAATCCTATTTTCTTCGTATATCCCATTTGCATGCTACTGAGCTTTGTTCTTATAATCCTCTGGCTTGTTAAAAAAATAGTTACCGACAGGCCTATGATAGTAAATTTTTTTCCAAAATTGTTTAATGTATAAAATATAGACAACAAATTCCTTTGCGATTAATTACAATGGATATAATTCTTGACACAGTTTCGAAAATCTTACAACTAAACAATTTGTGTTAAATTTAATAAATTTTCAAAAACATGTCAACACAAAAAATTGTCTCAAACGATTTAAACAAATTTTGTGTTAATTTAACATAAAATGAATATGTGAATGAAAAAAACAAACATTAATATTAAAATAAAAATATACTTTAACACAAACATTGTTTGGAAACAATAATTTGGCAACATATTTATTCAGTAAAATTAGCATTTATTATGTGTTAAATTAATACATATATATTTATCTTTTATTTATTTATTTAAAAATTTAAATTTTAAAATTATATTATTTCTATGTATTATTCTATATATACTCTTGCTTTTTATTCATTAATTTATAAATTGTTTTATTTTAACACTAAAAAATATTACCAATTTAAAATATTCAAATAACATAATCACATAAGTTAATTCAGATATGTTAAAAAAATTAAATACATTATAAATTAATTTTAACAAAGACTGATTTTAACACAAATACAAAATGCTTTTTACTGTATATCTTTGGAATACTAATGCAATTCGAGCTTTCTCTCTCTCTCTCTTCAATAATGACATATCTCATCGCTGATAAAAATGACAAATTTCAATTATAAACTCAATATACACATTTCTCATTACGCAGAATTAGTTGTCACAATACAGATATAATAAATAAAATTTTAACTACGCTATATTAAATAATTATGCGTTGCTGTGAAAATAAACCTGTAAGCCTCTCACAATATGCGTAGCAGGAGCTATTCTGATGCTTGTGACAGGAATAATGGAGATGAAACATGCCGATACATACATCGATGTTATTGAATTTACTGACGAAGAAATACTGGAGCATCCTATCTTTATTCACAACTTTGTAATGTGCACATTGTCGATATTCGTTATGATTCTGTACCTAATTCAAGCGTGGGTTCTTTTCGACCAATGGCAGTGGGTGCGTGAACATAAAAACAATTATTCATTATTACATATTATATAAGATATCTTTTTTTAATTATTAGTTTTATTTATAATGTATTTTTGTTATGACATTTCGTAAAAATTAACATTTACGTAATTACAAATCATAATTATTCTTCATAAGAATAATGGTTCATGATTTTATAGAGAATTTGAGATATTGAATGACTATGATTATTAATTTAATACGATTAATAATACTTTTATTAAAACTGCAGTTTATATAATTTTCAGCCTGCATAATCTTTTTTAATTTCTCTTAAAATTCTTAATTAGATCAATTTGAAACGTAAATATTTATGGTTTTAGATTCGAAAGGAACAAGATACAAGTATATCAGAGCGAAGTTCTGAGTCTAGTATAGATACCGACGAAAGTGATTATTCTACAGAAAAAAAGATCGAACATGATGCTAGAAAGCAGATTGGTGAACTGCTACCAATTCCTGCTTTGGAAGAATTGATCGCCTTCACTACGATCTCCGATAAAGATGTAAGAATGAAATTTAAGAAGTTTACTGTTTACTTGCAATTCTATTAAAGTCTTGGATCTTGATACAGACCATGTTTTTCTGCGTTGAATGAAAAAAGAAAAATGCAAGAGTTTTATTTTCGATCTATAAAATTTATGACATTGGTCGTTCTAGTTCTAAGATCAAATGATCAGTAGATCTCTAACTTAACGAATTTCAATGAAGTACAATACTTGCGCATAAAAAAAGACATATTAACATATAGAAAGACAGAAATCCTGAAAAAGATTGTCCTGAGAAAGATAAAGATTGATAATTTTTATAACTCGTAATAAAAATTCAGAAAATTGTATTTTCTCTTTAGGATATGGATGACGAACCGATACTTTATTGCTGTTTCGTCGACTGGTACAATTATGTTAAAATGAAAATGGAAAGCAAACCAAAACATGAGTTTCAAGTAATCCATGTCATGTGACGTGCCCGGAATTTTTAAATAAAAATTATTAATAATTTATTAAATATATTAAAAATACCGATTGCTGGTACATTGTTTTTGTCGTTGATTTCTCAAATCGTTAAATCAGAGAAAAACCTGAAAGAGGACATGAGGACCTTTTTCCTGTAACTGTAAAGTACCGCCGCGCACTACTGCCCTCTGAAGAAGTGGATGTAAACTACACAACAATATCCATTTTTTATGGTCCTCCTGATGGAAATAAATCACTAAATAAACTAAAATCTATCAAATGAATTTTAGGTTTCTCTCTGCCTGTATTCATAGTCAGATCTTATATTTAAAATCGTCTTAAGTACAGTCTTAAGATGTTATGAACCAATTAAAAAGCCGTACTAGTATCTTAGGACATTACTTAAGATGATCTTTGATTTGTTCATCTTGCTTACACTTTTTTACATTTTTTTACACTTAAAATGAGATAGATATATATTTAGCGCTGAAAAAAGAGAGAGCAAAAATGCTACATAAGTGTAAAAAGTGTAAGCAAGGCAAACAGACCTCTTAAAGGCTATGTTCCAAAATTCACTGTTAGTGCTAAAAATGTATATGTAATGTAAACTGTAGATTTTCAGCTGGCAGTGAATTTTGAAGCACAACCAGTAAAAACCGACTATTGGCCGCAGTACAGATTTGCATAACGCATAGTGCATACTGAAATTCTTCTTTTTCATGGAATGGGAAGAAAGGAAAGATTCTGATTGGCTGATTTCCTTATGCACTATGCTTTATACGTTATGTAAGAGCCTGTATCATATGAATATCGGCCTTAATGTCTATTGCACACTGGATACGATGAGAGATGAGCGACGAGCGATATCCAATAAGAATTTTGCTTTGTATCGTTATGTGCAAAAAAGTAGAGCTTTCACAATTCAAAGCAAATATGTATTGTAAGATTTTTTTTAAATATCTAATTTTAATTATATTGTTCAAAGTAACACAAATATAGATATTCAAATATAAGACGAGAATTCCTAAAACATGATGGACCAATCAATGCACTTTATCATATTGCAATTTGCAATTTGAATAAAGTTACAATTCTTCTAATTGTAAACAAACTACATTTAATTTAAAGTAAAGAAAATTTAAATGAATAAAAATGAATCAGCCTGTAAAGGCTCTTCATCACTCGAGCCAATTTTTAATGGCGGTCCTCTTTTTCTCAGCAAACATCACAAGTTACATGTAATAATTAATATAATTGTAGTATAACATATTCTTACAAATTACAATTAATTGTAAAAGGTATGTGTAACTTGAAATTTGCTGAATTTGAATGACTTTATTATGTATTATATACAAATTTAATATTTTCATGCAATGCATTTATTTAATATCAAAATAAAAAAAACGTAAAGAAAGAATTATAATATGCAAAATAATCAGACAATACAATATAATAAAATATAATACAATACAAAAAATAAATTTAAATCTTTTTAATATAAAATATATAAAATATATAAATTGCTTATACATTTTTATAATTAACATTTTTGCTTATATTTATAAGACATCTCGTATACAAAATGCATGCATATTATAACACAAATGCGTATATTTCAAGAAAATCCGAATTCTGATTCTGCAATAACAATTTTTACGTTTTTGCTTAATAAATCTTTTAATAATACATTGTTTATTAACAAGTTCTTAAACAAAAATTTTAATTCGCATCTCCTACTGTGAAAATAAAAGTTGTTAAATTTTAAGAAACTCGAAATTAAATATTCAAACAAGTTTTAGCGAATTTTGTCCTACGCTATCTATTATCTACTGTACGCGCCTGCATAAAAATGAAATTACGAAGTTATGTTTTTTAGTAGTTGGTATTTTATGCAGATTTTCAGCTCGTTTTTACTAAACACAATCACTAGTACGTATGTAAATATATTCCAGAGTCTCTATTATTACTAGCAATTATAGAGACTTTGAATATACTTCAAACTTTTCCAATCATATATTGTTAATTTAAGGTTTAATTTAGCAAAAACGAGCTGGAGACCTCCATCACCTCCACCGATTTTATCGGCAATCCTCTTTTTTTTATAAATATACTCGTAAAAAAAAAACCGAGCTACTAATAAGTATTAGTAGTTTTTACAGGTATATTTTTAATTTATTTTTTATTTTTATGTCTAATTATCATATTGTATTTCGTTAATTATATTGCATTATGATTAGTGAAATACAATAATTAACAATATATTGCATAACTTTTTTAATATTATTTTTTATTGTAATCCTTTATACATTCAGTAATACAATAATAATTGTTTATAGAATGTATAATAAATATAATAAAAATTATATTATAGGAGCATAATTAATAAGGGATTATACGATAACATAAAGATAAATTTTTCTAAACCAATAAAATATTGATAAAAGTGGAATGAAATATTAACAACAATTAGATCGTATTTACTATTAAATATTAACTTGCGATTATATAACTTATTAATATCGTAATAAAAAGTCATTAATATATTTACGACAACACTTTTATCGCGTTGAAAATAATTATCCCAATAATTTTATCACATCAAGGTCCTTCCACTTTATGGTGGAATCTAATACAAAGAATCTTCATAATGAAGAATGAATTTAATGTATTCTGATTCTACGTCAAACAAGATTCATTTGTAAAAAAAAGTTAAGCACTTCATCAAATATTAGCGATCTTGTTACAGGAGAGTGTGAATCCCGAATCTTTCAAACTACTTACAATAATAATAATTTTGGTAGCATGTCAATTATATACAATTAACATTCTTACTACATTTTTAATATAATATTAAAATTCGCGAAAAAATATGTCCTGCTACACATTACTAAAAATTATGGCTTATTAAAAATAAATGGATGGAATGATTTCCTTATGGAATGTTTACGAAGGAATATATTTAATAATAATAAAATACATGTTATTGTAATTTTTATATGTACAAAAGTTTCTCGGATACTGTTTGAGATAAATCGAACCTAATAATAATGGGATTTTAAAAATTATATACTTTAATATTGAAAAATTTATTATATAAAATTTAACAATTCTTATTTTTCTATATTTTCACAAAATTTTAATTATTTATTAATATCCCGCTAATATGAGGGTTCATTCTTGATTTTTTGTTCAACTCACACATTTTTAGCTAAATTCATGTATTTATGATACATTATTAGAAGAATATAAAGCATTTTGGTAAAAATTATCTAAATCGACAAAAATCAAAATCTGTTAAATACAATCTCATAACATCTGCATGTATTTTATCATAGAAATGTATATATACATATAAATTAATAATTAATCCTAATATCCTAGAATGGGATGTCCAATACTTTAAAAATAATTTTTAAAGTAGCAATTAGAAAATTAAATACACGTTCGTAACCATATTTTTGTTAAAATAATAATCAAAAAATAAGCAAATTATTTGTAAAACTTAAATTTATTTACTTAATAATTTAGATTTAAACAAATAATCATTACATATCCATATTAATCATACAATATTAAATTCTTATTGTTATTAAGACAGTTTATTATTAACATTATTATTAATAAGAATTTATTAGTAATAAGGGAGAACATTTAGTAAAATTAAGAAAGCGACGAAAATTATACCCTAAAATATACAACTGAATTAATTTCACAATTTGACTTTAAAATATACCAATTATCATTGAATTATTGATAAAATTATTATTATCGGAAACTAACAAGAAAACCCCAGATTAATTCCGATCCTATACAAGAATCTCCAAAGGGACATCAAACTAGATTTTGCGAATGAAATGAACTTTACGGAAAGCGACGAGGAATAATTCTTCATGATGAGAATAATTACGACTTTTCATCGGTACAAACTATGCATTTACTGGCATCCATTTGACGCGAGAGATAGCGATGAGATCTTTATAACAAATAAATCACTAAGATATACTTATAATTCTATAAGTATAATTCTATGTTAAAAATAAAAATGTCAAAAAGTTAATATTTAATCATTGCCTCAGTCCAATCTTTACTGACTTATTTAATAAATATACTATTAATAAATATAATATATATAAATAAAAAGAAAAATTGCTGATTATTCTAAACATCAAATTTTTAATTAGAACTCAAAATTATTAATGACTTTTTGATATACAAAATAAAATCCAAATTTTAAAAAAGTTTTAAAATGAAATAGTTGTTGAATTCATTAAATCAATAAATAATTTTTGTTATCATATGTCTCATCAATTTCATGTAATTTACAATCAATAAAGCAACAATAAATTTAATTTATTATAAGATAAATGCTACCTATATTGAATCGATATATTCAATACGAATATAAACATTATAAATGTATAACTTATTAGTAATTATTGCGCAAATTACAAAAGTAAATATGATGCGCATTTACCTGGACATAGTTTACATAAATTTTATTAAATTACGTACATAATGCTACTATTATACATATATTTGTTTATTCATTTATAACAAAATTAATTTTAATATTAACGTTTATTAAAAATAACAATATTTTTAATTTTACATAAATAAAAAATATTTACCGCAAGGTGTTCTGCCGGTGTCCGATGCCTCTCCCAGACTTCCTCCTCCTCTCAGAATAAGTTGACAACGTCTCACACTCGCGTAAAACACTCACAAACACTAATTATTTATAAAAGTCTTTCGCGTCGAACTAGAATTCCATCGAATGAGCTTTGTGAAAAGTCTATAATTAGTCCGATAACTTCAACGGCACTCTCGAAACAAACGCGCGACGAACCGGCTACGGTTCGTTCACTTTCAATTAAATCGGCAATGAAGGTACGATAACTTCCTCGTCATTGGATTTTTATATAAAGAGAACTTACTCAACTTACTATCTAAAAATTTAGACCTAAATATATCAATCAGATAGACCCGAAAATTTTTAAATGCTTGAGAA